AATGGGTTAATGCCTGAGATCCATTATTTCCTGAGAAATACAAAGTAAATTACCTGGTGAAGGAAGAGGGCTACAAAGAGTTTGCAGGCTGCAGGAGTTGGGAAGGCCTGGCACAGGTAGAAGGCACAACTAGATGCAAAGAGGACAGGAGGAGCAGGGGAGAGGGCACTGACCACACACACAGGAAAAAGGCTGTGCAGTGACTGAGGATGCTGATTCTCCAGTGACTTGTGGCCTTTCTGGAACAGTGGCTCTCAGGTGTGTGACTATACACACCTCCACTCCTCCCACCGCTGCCCTAAAAACACTTCACCATGCCTGGAGACAGTGTTGAGTGTCACAAGTTGGAGGGTTGTGCTACTGATACTTGTGGGTAGAAATCAGGAGAGCCACTGAACATCCATTCCCTCATACTCAGTGCTTCCAACACAGAACTGGCCATGCTACAGCTGACAAATACTGCTGCTCCAAAACAGGTAGCAAGAACTGGATTCTGCTGCAGTTAGGTGTTTCGCTATGCAGGTACCTGTCATGCCAGGTAATACAGTTATTACTGAAGTAAAGCATGACAGCATTTAGGTCAGAAAGGAAGGACACAATCTCAGAAGCGGTTATGTACAGAGAAACCTGAAGCTGTGCAGCTAACAATGAAGTACACAGGAATGGAAGAACAGAGATGGAGAAATTCTAGTTTATTTTTATTTATTTATTTATTTTCAGAACTGGGGATTGAACTGAGGCCCTTGCGCTTGCCAGGGAAGCGCTTATTCCACTGAGCCATCTCTCTGGCCCTGAAATTCTAGTTTATGATATATATATATGTATTTTTTTTTTTTTTTTCAGAACCAGGGATTGAACTCAGGCCCCTGTGCTTGCCAGGGAAGCGCTTATTCCACTGAGCCATCTCCCAGGCCCCACTAGTTTATGATATTAAAGCCAGGCTAGGTGCCACAATACTGTAATCCCAGCACTCAAGAGGCTGAGGCAAGAGGATTGAGTTCAAGACCAGCCTGGGCTACAAAGTAAACTCAAGGCCAGCTTATACAGGGTAGTGAGACTCTATGTCAAAAGGACATTAAAAAAAGAGAGATTATTACTACTTGTGGTGCCAAGGATAGAAGCCAGGTCATTGCATATGCTAGGCATTCTGCCACTGAGCTACACCCCAGCCTAAGTTTAAAATTTCAGGGGTAGAAAAGCTTGTGCTTGTAATCCCCGTTACTCAGGAGAGTGAGGCAGAGGACTTAAGCCCAGGAATTTGGAGCTTGGTAGGCTAAACAGCAAGACTCTGTCACAGAAAAAAGGAAAAATATTTTAGAAGTAAAGCAATTTGGAAGGGGCACAAAGAGTCACTGTTTGGGCTGAGAAATAATAATACGAGGGGCTGGGGAGATAGCTCAGTAGAATAAGCACTTCCCTGGCAAGCACAAGGACCTAAATTCAATCCTTGGTTCTGCCAAAAAAAAAAAAAAAATTAAAAAATTTTAAAATGTCTATAAAGTACCTGCTTATTGGGCTGGACATTTAGCTTAGTGGCACAGAGCTTGCCTGACAAATACAAGGTTATGAGTTTGATTGCCAATGGGGGGGAAAAAAAAATCTGCTTATGAGACACATTGGTACTTTAAGAGCTTCTCTAACAACTCAGGAGTCCCCAAAAGGAATGTAGTAAGTTTGCCTTTTCAAAAGATTTATTGATAGTTTTGTTTTTTTTTTCCTGACAGCATCCATGTTGCACAGGTCTTGAACTTGTGGGCTCAAGAAATCCTCTTGCCTCAGCTTTAAGTCGGCAGGCCTAAGGAATGCCCTTCTACACCTAGCCAGCCTTTCTTACCTGTACTTCACAAGCTTCTCTGTAGAGTTCCAGCTTCTTCAAGAGCTCCTCATTTTCTGCCTCACACTCAGCCATCTTCTTCTGGTAATATCCCAGAAGCTCCTGGGAAGGGCGGAGGCCCGCCAGACGCTCTTGGATGGACGGCAAGGGAGCCGACGCCACCAAATCTGCCATTTCTTTCCACCTGCTGGGACTAGTGCTAGAGGCAACACCGTGTTTTGAGGTAATTATTAGTCTACTGAAAATTAGACAGGATGTACTCATTGAATTCTCTGAACATTCATAAAAATTATACTTTTTGATTTTTATTTTTGTGAACCGGGTATTGAACTCAGGCCCTTGCACTTGCCAGGGAAGTGCTTATTGTACAGAGCCATCTCCCCAGCCCCTCAACATGCTTTTTAAAATACAAAGGTGTTTTGTCTTCTTGAAGTGTTTATAATAAAGATCCTCACATATACTGAAAATCAGATGTTGTAAGGTAGTATCAAGATTTAAAACTAGAGGACCAGCAAGACAGCTCAGCGGACTAAGCGCCTGCTTAGGCAAGCACAGGAACTAGGGTTCAATCCCTGGTGCTGCATGCCCCACTGGCCCCGCCCTCAGGTGAGCTGAGCTGGTGACCAAGTCTGGGCATTGGCGTGTGCCTGTAATCCCAGCACTGGGGAGGGTGAACACAAGAGGATCACTACGAGTCCGAGCTGCGTAGTGAGACCCTGTACCAAACACATAAACTAAAAAAAAAAAAAAAAAAATTTAAAACTTGATTCAAAATTAATGTTAGAGACTAAAAGATCACTTAAAAAACGAGTATAAACTAAGACTACACAGTAAAAATGGGAACATTTAGTACTATAAAAACTACTATTTAGTACTATATATATAGTAAGGGAAGCATCCACATCAGACCATGATCTCTAGCATCTGGGATTTGAATTGTGCAGACTAGGAAGGACAAAATGATAACATGGAACAGTTATGATCTAGGCCTAATTTTTTTTTTTTTTTTTTGGTTTGTTCACTATAGCAAACGAGACGTAAGCTAACAGTGAAAATAAGAAATGGCACAGAAGTAGAGAAAAATGTTCAAACTAATCCAGGTTGTCTGTCTGCAATTTACAGTGTAACAATCCAGACATCAGGGTGGAGAAAGTTTATACCAGAAGTCCAAAGCCACAATCAATGAATGTAGTTAATACATGCATTCTCTTTTAAGTAAAGCAAACACAGAGGTATTAACATTTATTTTTATTCTCATGCTGGGGAGGCAACTCTGGTAGATCATAGGCATGACAGCCCCAGGTTCAATTCTCACTTTTGGGGGAAAAAAAAAATCTAAAAATCAAGCACGATGAAGAAAAAAACCACATTTTTCTCAACTGTTGAAGCCTTTTTGATCTTAATGGTACAGTATACGCTTAGCAGGCACAAGCATCTGGATTCAGTCTCCAACATTACAAAATAAAAGTAAAAAAGCTTATGACAGAAATACTATTTTACTTGTGAAATAGAAGAAAACATTCAAATGAGGAGGGGAACAAGGGAGGGAGAAGGAAAGAAAATTTTAAAAGAGAAGGAAAAAAATGGAGACACAGCTTTTGTAAATGGGGAAGGGAAGAGGGTCTAAGGGAGGGGAGGGGAATGGAAAGCAAAGAATCAAGTTATGTAAAGGTGCAAATTCTCGATAATGAATGTGATTATTATGTCCATCTAAAATGTTCCAATAAAATCTGACTAAAGAAAAAATGCTATTTTTTTTAATGTTCCAAATTTCCAATAGGGGCTATCTTTTAACTGGGAAACAGGTTAATATATAAGTCCAGAAGTACTTCCACTGCTGTGGACTAGCTGTGGCACTGCGGAATAAAGAGGTGTCATCAAGAAATTGGTGGAGTACCAAAGTGAAAGTCTTATGTTTGGATATGGGTTCTCTGCAATCCAGGATCTACTGGCCCTGTGCCCAATCCTCTCATATTGAACAAATCTTGGTTTGGGGGTTTTTATTCTGGACTTTTTTTCTTTCAGACAGGTTCTCACTATGTACTTCAGGCTGGCCTTGAACTTACAGTGGTCTTCCTGCCTGTACCCCAAGTTCTGGGACTACAGGCGTACACCACCAGACCTGGTCTCACTATCTAACCCAGGCTGCCCTTGTACTTGTGGCAATCCCCCTGACTCAGCCTCCAAGTACCGGGATTACTCACAGCCATGTGCCACCATGCCTGGCTTCAAAGAGTCCTAGAATTAAATTCTGGGTAAGAATAGAGAAATGAGATATGATAGAGTTCAAATGAAGATTTAGGAAGTTGTTTCCAAAACTCTTTTAAGTCTTATGCTAATTTGATCTAAGGTTACAAAAGTCTTGATTCTTTAACAACTCAAAATAAACAAATGTCTTACTTTCTGCAGACAGGGGTGCGTGTCGGGGTAAAGTTCATGCTGTCTTATTCACACCTATCAAATACACAAAAAATCATGAGACTCTAGGAACAGGAAGAAAAACAAACAAACAAAAAAACACCCAAACAGCGCAGGATACAGACTGGTTCTCTCTTCAATGTTACTAACATTATCATATTTGCCTCCTGAAGACAGTGTTTTATTTTCTAACTTGAAAATCTATTTTTATAACTTTTTTTTTTTTTCTATTTTTATAACTTTTTGAAACAGACAACACACTCTTGGGGAAGTAGGGGAAGAGCAGGCCATGTTAAGTGACCACAAGGCCCCTACAGTTCAGAAGCTGGCCTAGGAGAGCCAGGCACTGCCGCTGGCACAGGGGACAACTGTCTGAGGCTCGGCAGACCATTCCGTGTGCCACGCAAAGCCGTTGTGGGTCCGACCCAGAAGTCTCAGCTCGTCATGAAACAAGTGCCACTCATCTTCAGTCAGACAGTGTGGTGTCCCCTCCCACTGTCTGTCTTGTGGCTCCTCTCCATGGCCATCAGAGGCCACCAGGGTATGCATGCTTGTAGAAACAGTTTCTTCCAAACCGGCAGCTCCCACGACCTTCCGCAAAATATCTGCACGCCTTGTTGCTCATGGCCTCTTTGTATTTCTGAATGAGTTTCTGCTTCTCTTCTTTCTCTTCCACCCAGTATTCACTTGGAATGACAAAGTCAGATGTGATCCGGCACTGGGGGCAGGACTTTACAATGTTCATGTCAAATTGCTTAGCGCTCCTCCACTCACGAATGCACTTGAGACAGTAGGTGTGGTTGCAGTTGGAGAGGATGCCGAAGCGGCGCTCACTCGGTTTGGGCTTCTCGTACACCACCTCCATGCAGATGTCGCACATCATGTCCTTGCTGCGCTGCATGGCGAAGGACAGCTCCATGTCTTTCTCGTGGGCCTCAATGCAAGATTTTATGTGCTGGGACCTCTGGGCTGCGTCCACTGGATGCAGGACCCGCAGCCCACATATGTCACAGGCATCGCTGTGCAGGTACACACAGTTCTCCCCACTGCGACACTCTCCTATGGCGGCATAGGGGCAGACCTGTTCCTTGGTCTCCACCTCTGACTCTGCACTGGGCAACGAGCTCTGAAAGGGGACCTCTGTGTACGTAGGGGCAATGCGACCGCGGTAGGGCTGCCCAGGCACGAACTCAACGGCATTCACCCAGTCCCTGGACCCTGGGCCGATGGCTGGGAAGCTCATATTTCTGGAATCACCCCCGCCCGTATTCATCTCCACCAGTGGTGCAGTAAAGGAGAAGAGACTCACAGCAGCGAGGGATGGTTTCCCAGTTAGACCTGTAGCAGCTGCTGCTTCTTCCTGTTTCAGTGGCTTGCTGTGCTCACCTCTGCAGCTGTCTCCACACACGCAGGACCCTTGCTGGAAATACTTGCATACTACACGGTTGGGATCATCAGAAGGATCATGCGAGTTGCCACAGTTATCTTCTTCCTTACAAGCCCCGTGCACGAAACATCTCGCTTCCCCCCGGGGGAACATGTTATTCTCACTGCTGCTGCTGCTGCTGCTGCTGTCCTCAGGAGATGGCAGAGCTCTTGAAGTCTCACCGGCCTTTGGCTTCTTTCTAGGCTGTTCCGGACTAGCTTGCTTTTTTCTCTTTAACTGCTTGCCAGCTTCACTGTCAGAATCGCTGTCTGAAGAGCTTGAAGGAAGAAGTCCCTTTGCATTAGCCATTGACCCTCGCCTGCAGTCCTCAATGTTTTAAAGTACAATATTTCTTAAAGTCATTTCAAAAGTTTTATGCCTTTTAGATTTTATAGCTATTCTTCATTACTGTTTTCAAGTACAATGAGAATGGCACTGATACTTGGATAAACAGATATAGGGAGAAGAAGTCTTCTCAGTGTCAATGCTACCTGTAATAATGTAAAAACAAGTCCTTTCACTGACTTACACAGGGAGATTCAGGAAAGTTCTTTCTTTTTTTTATTTGAGACAGTTTCACTGTTTCCCAGGTTGGTCTCTAACTCCTCTGAGATGATCCTCCTGCCTCAGCCTCCTGAGTGGCGGGAAGTCACAGGTATGTTACTCTACCCAGCCAGAAAAGAGAACTCTCTAATAAATGAGACATAGTAATAATAAAATACAACACCATGCCAAATTTACAAGGCTAAATAGCCACTGATATTATTTTTATTTGGTGTGTTTTTTCTATTGTTTTATATTAGCAGAAAAGTTGCCTAGCACATTTGAGGCCCTAGGTTCCAACCCTAGCACCAGAAAGATAAAATAAGCCTGGCAATTGCACAAGCCCCTAATCTCAGCTACTTAAAGAGGCTGAGGCAAGATCACAAATTTAAGGCCAGCCTAGACAACATCAGGAGACTGTCTCAAAGTTTAATTTATTTATTCATTTGTATTTTAGGGAAAGGTCTACAGGGTGTTCAGGGTCTCACTAGATCGGACTTGTAGTGATCCTCCTATTTACAGCCCCCCAAGAACTGGGATTACAGGCGCATGCCACCATGTCCAGTCTCAACTGCTGTCTCAGTGCGCCCTGGGGGCAGGGCTGGCATGGCAGACCCAGGGATTGAACCCCCGGCCCCTACACCCGCTTGCAGGTGCTTTAATCCTCAAAATGAAATTTTATAAAGGCTGAGGATATAGCTGAGTTAGAGTGCTTGCCTAGCATGTCTGAGGAACTGGGTTAAATCACCAGTTCTACAAACCAGAACCAACCAAGCAAAAAACTCACTTGAATTATCTTAGCAAAAGAAAAAAAAATTACGTATAAATTTTCCATCTCAATCAGTAATAAGATTATGAGCTCCTCTACTATGATAGAAGATACACTTCGTATCTGGGGAGGAAATACCATTTTGTGTTACATGACTTTAAGGGAAGAAGAGGGAAGAAAGAGACTGTTCTTTCGTTGGTTTTGGTGAAAGCCTTCTTATCAAGCAAAACATGCCTGTCCACTCTGATTCTGAGAAGACTATGTGCCTCTATCTGCTTACAATCTTTAGTCCTTTGGGGCAGGTTTTTTTTTTTTTTTTTTTGGAACCGGGGATTGAACTCAGGCCCTTATGCTTGCCAGGCAAGCACTTATTCTACTGAGCTAACTCCCCAGCCCCTGGGGCAGGTTTTTTGTTTTGGCTTTTTGAGACATAGTCTTGCCGTGTAGCCCAGGCTGGCCTTGAACTCTCAGCTATTCACCTTCCTGGCTCTGCCTCCCAAGTGATGGGATTGCCAGGTATGAGCCACTATGCTTGGCCCTTTGGTTCTTTCTTTCTTTTTTTTTTTCTTTTTGGCAGAACTGGGGATTGAACTCAGGCCCTTGCGCTTGCCAGGGAAGCACTTATTCCACTGAGCCATCTCCCCGGCCCTCTACGCTTGGCCCTTTGGAAGAATTTTGTGAAGCATTAATAGGGAAAATCACCACTGTTATTTCCATCTTCCTGTGCAGAATGCTACAGTTCCTCTCCTCACTTCTGGAAACTTCCCTTGACTTCTAGGACACTGATTCTTAAGTCCCCCCTTTGAACTAGTAATTACTTTTCAGCTAGCTCTTCCTCATCTTTACTCTCATTGCCTCGGGGACCTAGTGAATCTCTTGATTTTAAATACCAAGTATATAATGGTTTTCAAATTCACACTTGCAGGGCTGGTGAGATGGCTCAGTGGTCTAAAGCACCTACTTAGAACAAGCTTAGTGAAGCCCGAAGCCCAGGGACCACGGTTCAATCCCCCAGCACCACATG